TTGATAATAATAACAATAACAATAATAATAATAATAAATAAATAAATAAAAAGTGGATTGGGGAACAAAATATATAAAGCATTACTATGCTCTTACAAGCCAAAACCGGATGGGGATAGACAAGTGAAGGCTAACCCCTATTCACCCAACTAATGAGAAGAAATATATTTGGGGAAGGCCACAATAGTGAATCATAGGCTTGGAAACAAGTTAATGAAACAATCTCTCGCTAATAATGAGAAGCAACTGATGGATTATAGGAGACGAATCTAAAATTGACTTTTGGTTTGATCATTGGCTTGATGAAGGGCCCATTTATGCCATTCAAACAAGAAAATATAAGGGCACGTTTGTTTACCGTGAAAATATTTTTCAGGAAATTTTTTTACGTGAAAAGATTCGCTCATGTGGTTAGATGTGGAAATGTTTTCATACCAATTGACCATAGTGTATCTTTCCACACCAAATGGCAGCTACTTAGACCATAAATCTTGGTCTTGATAGCTTAGTGAAACCATAAATCTCCATATCCCCACATAGGGACTTAAAAGGCCATAAGTCCCCATAAGCCAATATCGTAGATTCAATACAAAGACTCTTCCTAAATTGTCAAAAGGGCAAAAAATTCAATTACAATTTTAATGAGTTTTTGGAGTACTATGCATCAAGCCTAATTTGGGTTGTGTGGAAGAAATAAACTGGTAGGCAAAGGAAGACTAACACTATGCAATGTTAGCAAAGGAGTAACACGTGAGATGACATGGAATACTTGACACAGTATGCTAAAACCAAAGTAATATCCTATGATAATGCATATATTAACGATGTGATATACAAAATTAACCTCAGGTGAGATACAATATATGTAGTGAGGTATCTATGTGCATGTAGCCATAAAGAGAGAATTGGGGAGAAAATCATGAGTTAGTGCAGATGTATAAGGTCAATGTACAATAGCCATAAAGGTAGGGGTGGGAAGGTCAGGTTGGGTAGGGTCTGGTTGGACCCAGACGGACCGTTCAGACCCAAATAGTGTTTGGGTCCAAGATTTGGATTCAGGCCCAACCTATCGAGTCTAATTTTTTGATCCATATTTAGACCCGGATTGGGTCTACCCTTCATGTCCTGGCTCAGGTCATTTCCACCCCTACATAAAGTTTTCACACGCCGCATTTAACCTGGGCTTATGAAGCTCAGGAGGCGGTCTCAAACTAGGTACACATTATCGGTTCTAAACAATAGATAAAAGGAATGAAATGCAAGTTGCAGTGACCAGTGAATGTCGGCGAAAGACAAAAAATTGAATTTAACTCCTGTCAACCTTTCTCCTACACTATTTTGTCCATTGAGAATGGGCAACAGATGGCCCATGGATCATATATCATACACCCCATGTGTTCTATGATGTCACCTGTCAAAACCGTGTGAAGCTTCTAAGGGGTCGTTTGGAACGTGGAAATCGATTACGTGACCATATATTACAAGGAAATATGACATTTACATTATTTGGGTAGACTTTAATAGTAAAAAAATAGAAAGCCATTATGCCAGATTACCCGAGATTTTCCAAAAAATCACGAAATTCATCACGGGAGCGAAAAATATATTACGAGGTTGACAGGTAAAAATCACGAAATTCATCACGGGAGCGAAAAATCGATTACGAGGTTGACAGGTAGTTTTTAGAAATCTTTCGCCTGCGTCTCTCTGCCCTATCCCTGTTAAAAAAAAACATTTCCCTCTCTCCAGTATATGTTCTATTGTATAATTATTAAGGTAAGTAGAAAGTGAAAGTAGGGGATATCACAAAAAAAAAAATTTGACATCCCTCTATCCTCAATTTGAGTTGTAGCCCTCATCTGACTCTCATATAAAAACAAAAGTTAATAATTGGTAAGTGAAAGTAAGTGAAAATCTAAATTGATTTGAACAGTTGTAGACCTTGATGAAGGACAATTTTCTACTGCAATCGTAATTAAAAAAATTCTACTTTCCTCTATCTCCAATTTGGGTTGTAGCCCGCCATCAGCTCTCGTATAAAAACAAAAATAATATAAATAATAATTGATAATTGATGAAAAATTAAACAACACAATCATAATAAAAAATTTCACACAACATAATCCTTATAAAAAATTAGTAAAAGCTCAATTGAAATAAGATACATCTTTAGTCTCCTCCAATGCTTCAAAATTTTCTACTGCAATTACCAAACCTTCTAGTTTACTAATCAAACTTCTTCTCATTTTTTAACTTGTAGCATAAATATTTTGATTTTGGTATCATAAATTTATTGCTTATTTGAAATTATATATAGAGAGATATTTGAAAGACTTCTGTAATAAATAAATAAAAATAAGGCTTATCACAATAAAATCATGTTATTCCAATTATATTATTCCAATGACTTAGCATGTTGAAACCAAAGTCTAATCATATTAGCCAAACATAGCCATATTTTTCATATTTGGATGATAATGCATTTCTCATATTTTTTAGAAACATAGCCAAACAGTAGCAATGTATTTCCCAAGTTGCATCTAAATACTATCCAAACTATGACAATCCATTTCCAAGGAATTTATTATACAATAATGTATTACGCCCGTAATATATTTCACAGACAATATATTTTCACGTATCCAAACAGCACCATAGAGTAAAACATGAGAAAGTATACAATCAATTTTTTTAGTTTTGGTACAAAAAAATCTCAATTATTATCACCTATCATATTCGAAAAGAGGTGGATGGATATATGCCATTATTCGCCCTCAAAATACTAGAAAATCTTTCTCAAACTTTATGCAAGGTAAGTAAACCCCTATCATCCAGATCGGCAACTAAGAATGAAGGTAACTTTTTTTGTTTTCTTTTTAATAACGATCGTGACCTTCTTGTATCAAAGAAGAAGTATTTTATAAAATGTAATTGCCCGGAACATTGGTCACATTGCTAGAGATTTGGGTCTTATAGGATGGAGCTTTCTATGTGACCCCACCTACATATATATAGCATATGTGACCCCTAGTCTTAGCCGTCAGATCTGAGTAGATGGCTGAGATGGCTTGAGTCAAAATGTCACAAGCTAGCTCCTAACCACTAGATCTTGATCAGACGGCTCATAGGTTTTTTATTTTTTATTTTTATTATGTAAATAATTTTGAAGTAAAATTTGGGGCATGCATAGATTTTGACAGGGGTGCACATAATAAAGATAAAAATAAAAAATATTTTCTGCTAATAAAAAATTACCAAAATACCCCTGAAATTTTTAGGGGAATTTTGGTCATTTATTTTTAAAGAAAATATTTTTTTAACTTTTTTCAGATTTGCACTAATTTTGTGATGGGATGCCCGAAATTTCATCAAACAAGGTTTTGTAGAAAAAATGAAAAATAAATAGTGTTTGGTGTGACATTATGGTATGAACAATCATAGCCATTCAATTCAAATCGAAGGGCTAAGAAGTTGGGTCACATATAACTTATAGGTTGTTGGATGGGCCAAAAGAGCCCAGGCCCGCCCTATCTGGGCTTAATCTAGCCAAACAAAATTAACAAAAAATAAAAGAAATAGAAGGACAAATAGGCCAGATCAGGCTAAACCAGGCTGGCCCAATCCGGCCTGGCCCTACCTTATAGCCCTTTCCTCAAGCCACATTTTGTGGCTTAGGCTCTAGTTTTTCAAAGTGGGGCCACCCCGCCCATTCCCACCCATACTTCTTAGGAGAAGAAATTGTGACGGATGAAAACCCCAAACGTTTGGGAGTCCACAAAGGGGTAGAGATGACTCAGTTTATGAATTTGAAGGGAAATGTATTGAGCCGGGAAGATTGATGAAGAATAATAGGGATCAGATCATTTAATTTTGAAAAACGTTTATACAGAGCCAAGGCTTTAAATAATCAAATTAGGCCCACCTCAAAAATTTAAGTAGAAGAGGTTGTTTTGATGTTCAAATATCTTCAAATTGATCATCTCGACATCAAGGTGTATGGAAATGAGACAAAAATAGATTTCGGGTTTTGAAAATAGTACATCTTGTAATACAATTTCAAACCGTCAATTTTTAAGATTTTTAAGTTTTCATATATCTGCTTGATCTACATTATTTTTTAAGCTTTAAATTTTATAATTAAAGACAAAAATATATTTTAAAGCTATCACAAATGTGTTTAGTATTGAAACCATATTTCTCGACACTTAATACACTTTATTTTGATTATTTTAAGGCTAGGCTTCATACAAACCGTATCCTTTATCTTTTATACAAAGAGGTCGCAGTCAATTCCGCTCAATAGATACCCAATTAGATAACTTTGGGTGGTGAGGAGACCAAAAGAACACGGCAAAATACACATCTTCGATGCATCTCGAGAACACCTTCCCAGCTTCTTGAGCTCAACGTCTCTTTCTTGCGCAAAAGTTTAGTATGCTTTCTCTCTGTCTATCTCATAGACTTAGTATGTTTTCTCTCTCTTCCATGGGACTCTCACCCAATCTCACACGCCTTTACCTCGGTTACAAGCCCATAAAAATCATGATTTTGCACGAGCATATGCCAAAAGAAAGCAACTTTATCTTTCTATTTGTCTCTTTTCATATTATAAATTCAATGATGTCTCCCACCACCCAAATTCAATAATAGACACACCTGCCACATTTCGAGGAACGGACAAGGGCGGACGTCAAAGCCAAAACCTCCTTGTCGGGCGGGAGCCGCCCGCCCTCCCGCTCGAGCCACGGGTGCGCCACGCTCGAGCCATGGCTAGGCCAAACTTGAGACTCTATTGCCCCAGTTGTGTAGGGTAAATGATAGTGGGGCCTTTGAAAAAGCAACAAAATGAGGCCTCAGCCACCTTCCAAGACCGTCAAGCTTTTCTTTATTAAAAAACATATATCAGTTACAGTGGCGGTCCCACTCTCTCACCATCACCGTCCATTCGCTGATTGGAGGGTGATAGGCATATAATCTGGCGGCTCCCAGTCAACAACTACCCACCTCCGTCTTCCCCAACCCCTCATATATGGACTGGTTTTAGTTACAGAGAGGGAGAACCGGAAGAGAAGGGAAGAGAGAGAAGGATAGTGAGAGAAGGAGAAGAGAACAGACTGAAGGGGAGAGGAGGAAAGTGAGAGAGATGGCCGAGCTTGAGGACGTCTCGGCACCCATTACCCCACGGTCCACTACCGGAGCCACCACCACGACACCGCCGACTCCCGCCCCACGCTCGCCATGGAACGTCCCCATCACCCCTCGCTCCATGGCTGAACCCCCAACACCTGGCGGCCTCCGCTCGCCGATCCCCCACTCCACGATGATGATACGTGAAGTCGTCTCTGTCCCTGTAACTCCGAGATCAACAGCCTCTGTCACGCCTCCTGTCCCTCACTCCCCTTTACCCCCTCTCCCTCGACGCCCTCCTCCCGTGATTTCAGCTCCGCCCTCCAATCTCCACTCTCCGTCCCTCACTCGATCGCCTCTCCTGCATACACCGACGACCACAGGCAACACGCCACGGACACGGTTCTCGACGCCGTTTGCGAGCCCCATGAGGAGGGCAATTGTGAACATGCGGTCGTATTTGGAAGATGTTGGACACCTCACGAAGCTGGATCCGATGGATGCTTGGCTGCCCATCACCGAGTCGAGGAGTGGGAATGCCTACTACGCTGCGTTTCATAATCTGACGGCTGGGATTGGGTTTCAGGCTCTTGTGTTGCCTGTTGCATTCACCTTTCTTGGATGGTACGGTCTCTCTGGCTGTTGCCTTCTTAGTGATAAATATATCAAAATAAGCGTTCAATAAATCGAATCAGCCAGCCCTTGGCGAGTAAATCGCTGGAGTACAGTTCAAGTTTAAAAAATAAAAAATCAACATATCAAAATAATGCCTAGAATTGCAGTCATTTTGGAAATGACTATTCTTCCCCTTTTTGGGGAATTTGGGATTCAAAATATGGAACATATTGATTTGAAATATAGCATGGAGTATCCCATTCTTTCTTCTCCCGAACAAATTGACTTGAAATTCACTCCCTTTCATAATCCCTTCCTTTTTTCTTTTTTTGGGTTTAGTCTTATTTCAGTGCTTGGTAGCTAAAAATTCAATTTTCATGTTTTGTTGCATTTGGATACAGGACATGGGGGATCATCTGTTTGTCCATAGCCTACTTCTGGCAGCTCTACACCCTCTGGATCCTCACTCGCCTCCACGAATCTGTCCCCGGTACCCGCTACAGCCGCTACATCCAGCTCGCTAAAGCCGCTTTCGGTAACCTATCTGCACCCTATTCTCAAAACAATCCGAACTCATTTAAGGAAAAAATGGGGAAAATTTTACTTAATTCACTAGTTTGTGTTTCTCGTTTGATCAGGGAAGAAATTGGGAGCATGGCTCTGTAAGATCCCCATCATGTACCTATCGGCAGGCACATGCACGGCATTGACAATTGTCGGGGGCAGTAGCATGAAACTCTTCTTCGAGATCGTGTGCGGATCATCGTGTCACTCTGATCCCCTGACCGCAGTGGAGTGGTATCTGGTGTTCACATGTTTGGCTGTAGTCCTCTCTCAATTGCCCAATCTCAACTCCATTGCTGGTGTCTCACTGGTTGGGGCAATCACTGCTGTGGCCTACTGCACTCTCATTTGGGTGCTCTCGGTGGTCCGGCCGCGACCACCAGGTGTGTCCTATGATCCCATCAGGGGGAAATCGGATCCGGCCACTGCTTTCTCCATTTTAAACGCTTTGGGTATCATTGCTTTTGCATTTAGAGGCCACAACCTGGTTCTTGAGATTCAGGTTAGTATCTTCTTCCTTCTTTTCCATTTTTTTTTGAAGTTTTTTTCTGTGTTAATTTTTAATCCTGAGAGTTTCTATCTGTGGAGAATTGAATCTGCAAGATCATGATAATGGATGGGTTGCTTTCATGATACATAAACAGTATATTTACTTTTGGTTACTGAGAAAGAGCCAAAAAGTAAGACTTTTTCTTTTTGGGTGGGTTTGGTGGGTCAGAACGCATGCAATACATAACACTGGGGGATGAACCTGTTAGCTTTTACTCCCTGCCGTCCGTAAATGAGAAGCTCTTTTACCAGCATGCGGTGAGCCTCGAAATAGAGACTTTCGAGGTTTGAGTTTCGACTTTTTGTACGACTGGTGCTATTGTGTTCTCTCATATTGTGCACTTACTTCCTTGGGCTAAAGAGCAAGCAGGAGGATCGTTTTTTATGTGAACTTTTTGGATTGACCTATAAGAAAATACTAGATGATTGTTTTCAAAGAAAAAAAAATTAGAATATGAGCTCTTTAAGACTTATATAGGTACCATTCAAATATCGAACAGTCTCTGTTTGTGATATTTCTTCCAGCTCATTTGCAGTGCATTTGAATTGTTTTATTTTATACTTTTTGTTGAGGTTGTTCGATTGAAGAGGTTACATTCCCAAATTTTGATGTTCTTAATTAAAAATTATTGGGTTTTACTCCAAGGTGTCCATCCATGCCGGCTATTAGATATGCCATTGAATCATGCCCGCTTACAAAATCACTTTCCATTTAAAAAATAAAGATGTTACTTCCCTTTGATAGCGTAGACAATACTCTCGTGGATTTAATCACTTGACCCTTAGGGAGCATCTGGTCTGGTCTGGTCTAAAAAGGGTGAAGACTTTAAATTTTCCTTTAACCTGTTTTAAGCCTCGATAAGAGAGATATGTTATATAAAGTAGGCAGCTTCAGGGATTATCCCCCATCTAACAAGTATTGGACTATAGGGGTTTGATAGAAGGGTAAACATCCACCTTCGAATGGCGGTTGGATGGTAGAGATGATATTCATTTTCGGCATACGCCTTCTAGCAATTCTCGAGAGTATTGAGGATTTTATTTGTCGACACTCGCGCATTTGACGTTTGGGGCATGCTTGATAGTTTTCGTGTTTAAAACAAGAGCACTTCTACTATGTTCCTGCAGGAGCAAACTGTATTTCTTTTTATTAAGGTTGGTCTATGAAAAAGGTGTTTTCAAATGGAGGAGTTCTTCAAAATCCAAATTTTAAATTTTTTTTTTTAGCAAGAGTGCATCTACTATGTATCTATTTGTGATATTTTTCAAAATTGTATATGTTGCTTTCACAGGAGTATAAAACTTTCGGCTTGAAATTAAATTTATAGCATCCCGGCTTAGCAATTAAAATATTAGGAAATAAGTTGTATTGTTCAAGAGTGCTATAATGCTTAGCATCCATCTTTTGAAGATGGATGCAAGTAAGTGTTCCATCTAAAAATAATGGAAATTTACGGTTCAAATATTTTTTTACTAGAATTATTATTTTTAATTTTTTAATTTATTTATTTTTTTCATATTCATGATCTTCATATTAGAGATGGCATGTCCTTAAATATTAAATATTAAAATCCATCTCAAAAATGGATTTATTAAGAGGCCCTCATTTTTTCATATGCGGCCTTATAGAAACCGGGTCTTTTTTTAATATTTCATGAATACTACAATGCTATCACAGCAACTTTACCAACTTTTCCCACCAAAGCAAATTATAGATTAACAAAACTATAATATTGACGAGGTGGACGGTCTAGATGTTCCAGATGAAACTTATTTTGGGTGAGTCAGATGAAACTCGAACTATTTTTTTATTTCTTTTTATCTATTGATTGCAGGCAACGATGCCGTCGACACTGAAGCACCCAGCTCACGTGCCAATGTGGAGAGGAGTTAAAGTGGGGTACGTGCTCGTAGCTGCCTGCTTGTTCCCTCTTGCAATAGGGGGTTTTTGGTCCTATGGCCACTTGGTAAGTCATCTCTCTCCACTCACATTTTACTTCCTAGCACCTCTAATTTACTCCAGCAAGAGTACACTGTACACTTAATCACTCGAACAAGAAAAAGGCAAAAATACAAGAACATTTGTTTCATCCGGGCTTGACCGTATTCGTATAATATGCAGCCCAGAGGTATAAAGCATTTATCTAAAAATAATTGTAACTAACGGTCCAAATATTTTCTTAAGGGATTGTATAGATTGTATATAATGAGACCATTTACCTATGGAATAAGGATTTCACAATTACTTACAATCATCTTTTGTGAAATCTTATAGCTTGGGTGTGTTATAAAGTTCGAGAGAAATTCTTTTGAACTTTGAACTTGGTCAATGAAATAAATGCAACCACTCAAGTACACATTCAATAGTCAAGATTTATTGTGACCATCTTGTATTAAAGATAAATAATCTCAATATATATTTTCTATTTTTTTAATATAACTATTATTTCTAGTTTTCAAAGTTCACGACTCCATGTTGAAGATTATATATTCTCTAAACATTAGGATCAAATTATATTTAAAAAATACATTTATTGCCAAACCCCGCATATCTACATGTGCAGGATTAGTATATATATATATATATATATATGTCCTTGGATTGAACCAAGAAAATCTAATTGTTGGATAATTTTAAGAACCTAAATGTATATATATATATATATATATATATGTCCTTGGATTGAACCAAGAAAATCTAATTGTTGGATAATTTTAAGAACCTAAATGTACGTTTTTTTTTTTTTTTGTTAAAAAAAAGAAAAAAGAGGTCATTCGGTGATTCCTAAGTGGATCCCGTAATTTTATATCGAACAATCCTTCTAACTAGCTATTTCACCCCGATGAGTATGCTCTTGTAGGAGAATAGTATAACTCAATAAAAAATAAAAATAAGAATAAAATAAAAGGCATACTTTTATAGAGCACAGTCTTTCTACATCGACATTCTCCAATTCACAAAGTATTTGCAGCCTTAACTTTTTAAAACTTCCCAGGACTGAAGAATCTTAGCTTTGGGCACCTACAAAATGTACACAACATCCAATATTTGGAATATATATTTCCTCTGGAAGAAGAAAAGATAGCTAAATTATAAAGTGCAAGGGCAAGATGCCCTTATATAGTCTTTAAAAATGTATTCCACCATTTCAAGGCTTTTTCTTTAATAAATTAAGATTTCATAACTTCTTTTAAATGTACATCATTCCTCCACATCATCATCATCGAGATGGCTACATGAATCTTATTATACCATTTTGCTCTATCAAGTGTCATACCTTCAATTTATATACATCATTCCTGGTATAAAAAAATTCATTGTACATTTTGTTCTCTCATGACAAAGTATACAACTGTAGTATTTAAGCTCTGGTATTTTCCATAATTGGGTTGCTTATTTTCTTTCTAGTTTCCAATAAAATGAAAAAAAAAAAAAAACCAGAATGTTGTAATTTCTTTTGCATAGAGTTTGAAATAGAGATTGGCTACTACCAAAATACTCCATTATGACGTTGGCTACTATTCAAATACAAAAATGGGTGGGCTAGGCGGTTGGACCTGAGCATAATATTTTAGAAAACAGGGATCAGGTCATAATAAGCGTCCCCAAAATTGTCCAATCATAATAAGGCAACGACAAGATAAATAAATAATAAAAAAAAAAAAAGAGGTAGTAAAAGGGAAAGGGAATAGCCTATCATAATACATGTACATTGTTTGTATACTAGTTGTATGACTGCACTGTGCCTAGATGATGGAAGCTAGACATGAATCATTCCTTCACCATGCTTAAGGGTAGGAACAATTGGTCTCCACCATTCGTCACAGCAAAAGATGGAGGAGCTTACATGTAGCATACCATACAATTGCACATGGAAGTATATCATACGCATCTTATGCACAATGCTACAAAATCGCGATGTCCAGCTCCCTTTCTCAACAATGGAAGGTCAAGATTGTGTAGCACCTTCCTATCCATGGCATCTGCATACTCATCTGATTCCGTCCAAAAGTGGTTAAAAGGAGCCTGTAATTCGCAATATAAAAGCTACTAAATTGATGTCTGTCTTTGAAGCTTATGTACATTCACATAACCTCCACTTCTGAAAATTTGTGTAGATACCTGCCGGGGGGATGGTCAGCGCTCTGTATGGCTTCCATATGAAAGACATTCCAAGGGGCTTGCTGGGGCTGACAAGCTTGCTAGTGGTGATAAACTGCCTAAGCTCCTTCCAAATCTATGCAATGCCTGTCTTCGATGACTTTGAGCACGACATAACAAAGAAGAGCAACCGCCCATGCCCTCGTTGGCTGCGCTCAGGGTTCCGAGCATTCTTTGGGTTTATAGCCTTCTTCATTGGGGTGGCCTTCCCCTTCTTGTCAAGCCTTGCAGGGCTTCTAGGAGGGGTCTCTTTACCAATAACATTGGCTTACCCCTGTTTCATGTGGATCTTCATCAAGAAGCCTGAGAAATATAGTGCAAATTGGAATATCAACATGGGTTTGGGTTGCCTGGGCATAATCATGAGCACTTTGGTTGTGATTGGAGGACTTTGGAGTACCATTGACTCTGGTCTGAAGCTACGGTTCTTCAAGCCTGAGTGATTCTTCCGAAACAATGCATTATGGTTGGAGCTTTGTTTTATTAAATGGAAGGTGGTTGTTTTTTTCCTTCTTTTTTTTTTGCTTTGGGTGGGTATTCTTCGATTCGAATCTTGGATGTAGTAGTTTCTGGTCCTTGTCTAGACCTTACCACTGAGCCAAGACTTTGAATCCATCTATACTGCAGAGTGAGTGTGATGCATTCATCAAAATTTTGTAAATTATAGCAATCAAGCAATCATATTGTGAAACTAAGTGACTGGCCTGCTTTTTGTTGTTTTTGTTTTTCTCTTCCTCCTCTCATCATCGGTAGACTCCAGTATTCTGAGACTTGGCCGAGGCCACTCGGACTCAGCCGAGTTACTCAGCGTTTTGGGCAAGTAGGTTGTACACCATGTTTCTAAATTTATTTTTATTAATACATGAGATTTGTGTGTTTTGAGCAAGTAGGTTGTACATCATGTTTTTAAATTTATTTTTATTAATACGTGAAATTTGGGTCACACACTTGAATGTCGCTTGGGTAGGCCTACGCACATGTCCTAGCATTGTATTTTAAACCCCACCAGCAAACTTTTATTTTACACCCAGGAGACCGTCTTTTTTTTTTTTTTTCGAAAGGATGGGAGTTCCTAAAAGAAAGACCTCTAAAAAGAGGGGCCCAATATAGGAATACATAACCAGCATGCCTTTTATCAAAGATGTAAAGGCTATATTATAAATATATATTTTATCATTATTGTTAGTTTTTAACTCGAGCTAGACTCGGGCAAGCTTTGGCCAAGGTCTGAGTACCTTGGCCGAGTCATGTTTCAAAACACTAGTTTACACAGTACTGTGGAACGATTAAGAAGTAATTTGCTAGCTAAAACTCAAATAGGGACCCTAGACCAAATCATGGTGCACATAGAAACCTAAATCATGATAATGGCTTGGCAATGCTCACACTCAAGAAATATAAAACCTCGGCATAGGTGTGTGAGGATGCACATGTTAGTATCTTTGGTTTGAAAAAATACCAGGTAGTTATTTCAAAATAAAATTCCTTTTGTTTGAAAGTGTTTTGAAATCTCAATACACTTATGTACATTTGCTCCTCCCGGTAGAACCCTAGGAATATTTATAGAACTTTATATTTGGAGATGTAACCTTGGGACTAACTTTTAAATAGATCCAAACGCACTCAATAAGTGCATAAACAAAATCGATTGAACAAAGTCCAGATCCAGGATTTTAGGAATTCAAAATCCATTTTTTTTAATAGTTTTACAGTATGTTTGGATGCTTACTCGAACCATGGTTTAGGTTCATTGCCGAGTTCGTATGTGAAAATTGAACACTAATAAACCATTGTTATGGCATGCGTGAACGCCACTGTTGAATAAATGTTCATTTGTAGATAGAGGGTCAACCCACAAATAAAAATATATATATATCTTCATATTTTTTATTTTTAGGTTTCATTTCACAATAGACCCAAAGTTTTAAAAGATATTTTGAGGCATAAAATTTGTAAATTTTATTTCTTCTAATCACCTAAATTAATTTAAACCTGTTTTTTAGACCAAACAAATCTAAAAAGACGTACATTTTTTAAGAGCCATCCTCCCAAACTTCTAGGGAGAGAAGAGCTTCATGGATGTGAAAAGTTACCAAGAGGAGAGAGGTACTTGAAAAAACAGAGAAGAGAGAGTGAGATGCAGGAAAAGAGAAAAGTTTGGAGTATATAAGTGAAGAGAGATAAAAGATTGGGTTTAGAAATAGCACGTCTTTCTCACATTTGTTTAAGTTACAAAATAAGTTTAAAACGGTCAGAAGGTTAAAAGATATTTTTTGAAACCTTAAGTTTATCAAGAAATGAAATCTAAAAATAAGATATATGGAAATATTTTCCAAAAACAAAGTAGGTCTAACTGTCTTCTTTTTTCTTTTTCTTTTCCTTCATTTGCATCAAGGGCTCAGAAGTCTATCTTTTCCTTCATTTGCATCAAGGGCTCAGAAGTCTATCTGTTACGCATAAACATATCGACCGCACAGCCCACAACTAGCTAGACCATCAAACCAGAGAGTGTAGAACCTCGAGAACCCCTCATTTGGCAAACTAAGAATCCCAATCACTTGGATCCCACCCAATATAACAACAAATGCAGTGTAAGAATTAAGCAAATTGCAAAACTAAAAGCATGCCAATAATACAATAATTTATATGGTACACACCGTAAGGCTACATCCACTGCCTCAGCAAGAAAAAATCTATTATCTCGATGAAGATTACAATTTTAAGTTACATGTGATATATCTGAATATTAGCAAAAGCATTACATACTTCTAGACACGCTCTCCCAACCAAAAAACTTTTCCGATTAACCTCGTCTTCCTCGTGCTACACTGCTACCGAAAAGAGAACCTTGAGAGCAAACTAAAAAAATTACTCCGTAAAGTGGCAGTTTAAACAATCCAAAAGAATACTGCCTCTCTTGGAGACATCTCTCTCTCTCTGTCCCCCAAAAACAATCCCTCTGTGAAACAATCTCCTACTTTGAGATTCACGACTCCAAAGGGTCGACTCTTAAAAGCAAATGTATTATATCTTTATTGACTCTCTACTATAGAGATTACTAGGGTTTCTTGCTTCCCATTAAATCTAATTTTTCTTCACCCAAAGACCATAATACCCTAGTTCTTTCAAGAAAACATAGGTGTAAGAATTTTGGTTGTCACCAAACCTAACTGAGAGAACCAGAAAGGACAAATAGCGGACCACAAAAAGGGAGAGAGGTCCACAAAACCATATGAGACTAAGCATGAAAGATTCAGAGTTCCTCAACAAAAGGATATTGTTAAAATTGCAAGGATCAGCTCAACTTCCACTGATCAGAGAAGAGGCCAAATCTAAGATCGGAAGGAAGAAAAGCAGGGGGAGAGAATCATTAATGGCCAATGATGAATAATGGGGCTGAAGGAAATAGAAGGAATACATCATGTGGAGCAGCCATTTTCATTGATTAGATTTTCAAAGAGAAGCCACTTTCAAGGATTAGGGTTTTCGAAGGACGAATTTGGAACGTTTTAGTGGGTTCAAGTTTTAGTGAATTTCAAGTTTCTATTCACGGTTCATGGGTAGGCCACAGTGGCACCCAAACCTCCCTCAACCATGGATTCCTATTAATGCAGTTTGTGAAAATTTATGAGATAATCTTCATTTATATATATGTTCATTTTCATTTTCAGAGGAACAATACCTTATCTGGTCAACCTAAAGTGAAATTTAAAGGAAGTTCTAAGTAGATCTTTTGCCCAAGGAATTGCTCCTGCAGGATCAGTATACATGCCCAAAATAAGATCATCGACTTCAAGGACAACCAAGAATCGCAACTTAACAATTTCAGAATGAAAACACATATGCTACAGAAAACTCATCCAACATAAAAATTATAACAATTTGCATAAATTGTGATTAAGAAAGGGTTATCCACTATAAACACTGTCCCTCTTTAGCGTTGTGGGGAATGCCCAACTTCAGAGGGCCCAATTCCAAAGCATTTACATGGAAAGAGGCAGAAGCATTCTCCGCTTCCGTTTCCTGGCTAACTTCACATGCCTCGTAATTTTCAAACATATAAGCACGAGGGTAGCAATGCAGATGAGGCAAAAGGCAAGCCTCATGTACCTGAAATAAAGAGAAATTGCCGAGAATACCAGGAAAGTGAGGACAAAGAGTTCCCATAACACTGAGATTGCCATATCCACCCTGCATTATATAAAAAGTAGACCAGGGTCAGCATCCTCTATTGTGCCTAGCTATATTTCACACAATTTTAGCAGCAGTAGAGAAAACATTAAAATACAGACATCTACTTTAACAGATAAGTAACCTTGCATCCAGTTACAAATCATATAACTCAAAAAATGCACAAAGGCAACAAGTACAATTGTTGGAAAAGAACGATGATTGCCAGTACGGAGACGGAATCAGCATCTTGTAATAATTTAGCAATACAAATTCTTAATGCAGATAGAATGACATTTTGCAAAATTGCTTAGAAGGTTTTGTTCTCATTGACTTCCCCCACCCTTTTATTCTCGTAATATATCCCAGTCAGTAAGTAACACAATTGAGGGGTATAAACTAGATGTACAGCCGCCGTAATCACAAACTTGCAATGTGGAACAACCACCAGAAGCTAAGGAGCTAAGGTGCACAATGATTCACATATCGAATAGACCTAAGGGCACATTTGATTCACATATCGCCTTCTATTCAGACTATGTCAAATTGCGATATACAAGAGTTCAAGGCCCTAGGTACTCCAAATCCCCTTTGCTTGAACAAGTGCTGCATGAACATGTTGTGCTTAAGAATCATCAGAAGACTTTCCGAGTAAAAAATGAACTAGATAATATAGAGTTCAGACTCTCAGTACAGAGTTTAGGTCATAGGGGCTGCAGAACCAGGGTTTCTGAGTATAATTTTAGTAAACCCACCAAAATAAACCTGCTAGAGTTCCAAATTCACAATAAGATGATGAAATTAACCAAAATCTCAAACAAAGAAAAAAAAACCGTGTTTGTACAACCAGATGAAAAAATATGAATGAGAGAGCAACCAATAGTAAGTTGCACACATGGTTGTTGCATTGCTAGATTACCACTCAAATTTCACTAAGGGGCCGTTTAGATACCCATATTACTGTTGCAGGGTAATGGATTACAGCGAAATTCGCCATTTCCTACGTTTGGGTATGCATATAGTAGGCAGGAAATGGAAATTTGATTCCTACAATTATCCCCAAAAATCAAGCAATGGATTTCACCCTCAAAGGCTAAGAAATCCATTACGTAGCATGATGGATAATCTAAAGCCCCGCAGACCCACCTAAATTATCAAATCGACCTCATTGATTTGAGGCCCGCTTAAAAACCCTCTCCCTCTCTCATATGCATGTTTCCCTCTCCTCTCTCACCTCGCAGCTCCCCGAAAAACCTTGCAGAAGAAACCCTAACAGATTTACGAGCAGCTTTTGCAGAGTGAGATTAACTTTTATGAAGCATAGTCTCTTTCAAGGTCACCTTTTCCTCTCTGCTTTTACCACCTATTAGCACACAAACTTTTCCCAAAAACAGTAGTTAAACCATATTTGATATAGTTTTTGTCTCAAAGTAATCACTCTGAGCAAACAATCTAACCAAGAAAAAGGTACTTATCCACAACCCGTCAATTAAGGCTCTGTCACCTCTCAATAGGGCAACCATAAATTGCCCAAAGTTGCAACAGTGCCCTAGCTTTCTCTCTCTAAAGTCTAAACCAGAAGTACCCTAACTTTCTCTCTCTAAACTAGAAGTGCCCTAGCTCTCTAAATTTCTTGTCCCTTTACTTCTTCCAGGTTATATCAGGAAGAAAAATGATAAACTGTTACCAAGCTAACAGTAATTCCCACTTGGGTTTGAATTTTTATACTTGTTTCTTAGTTATGTTATTATTGGGAGCAGAGTCAATATGCCATTTTTCTGTTAAAATTGTTTATCAATGTTTCATTTCATTTCTTCTTCTTGGTCCTTTTTCAATTTTTGTTCTAAAAGTTTAATGGTGGATGATGATAACAAGATAATTCATAAATATTGTATTATGATACTGAACTGAACTCTTTAAAGCTACTTTGGTATATAGATGTGTTAAAACAGAGGCTGTTAAGTGTTCCAAAAACCAAAACTTTCTTCCAATGGGGGGATTACTACTTCAGATTATCAGGAATTTAATGGAGATGAGCCTAGACTAGACTAGTAGGGGAAGTCTCAATTCTACCTCTAATTTCCTCATATATTATGAGGTAAGCGGTTGCCCATTTGGGGTAGAAGATAGTATAGCCCTTCTTGGTTTCCTGGTCTTTCCTGTTATATGGAACATCCCAGAAGCTTTGATCACATATTCACAGCTGAAATGGGCACCATGTTTCCTGAAATTGGAGGTTATGTTGTTTGGCTTTCATCGCCTTGGACCCATTTTGAGGGTTTCAATGAGGATGGATGAAATGGCTACCAGGGTCATTGACAATGCTTTATACCAAGTTCCAGCTCTTGGTGAAAGTTTTCCGAGAGCTATTACTGTGCTTTTGACAATGGCACTTGCATATATGAATTACAGGGGTTTGAACATTGTAGGATGGACTGCTGTTTCATAGGGTGTTTTTCATTGCTTCCTTTTGTTGTTATGAGCTTATTGGCCTTAAATATGTGTTGATTAGTTTTGCCACAGAACATGAAAAAATGGTCTGTCTTGGCAGATTTTTTTAATATCATAACATGAATTGAGGATGGTTTTGGTAGTTTTAGTTTTCAATTGATATTTTATCCAAAATGAGGGTAACATACTAAAATTCATGCAATATTTCCAAAATTCTAAATGAGGGTAAAATACTAAAATTCATGCAATATTTCCAAAATTCTAAATGAGGGTAAAATAGTGTGGGTAAAATACTAAAATTCATGCAATATTTCCAAAATTAGGATAATGCATTTCCCAGATTTCTTCTGGACGTAGCCAAACAGTAGCAATGTGTTTCCTAGGTTATATGTGGATGCTACCCCAACAGCAACAATTCATTTCCAGGTAATGTATCACACCAGTAATGTACGCTGCCAGTAATATATTTCACAGGCAATATATTAGGTACCTGAACAGCCCCTAAAAGGAGGGCCTTCCGCAGGTTTCTAGAAAATCAAATGGGCTAGCTATTTCAAATTTAGTTGTTCGGATTTCAATGAGATTGCATGGATAAGGCAGCAAATATAAATCCATCACCCTAGATTGCATCAAAAATTCAAGGGCTGTAGTGACCATGATGTCCTCCAACTGTTAATGCTTTCAAACAACAAAAGGAAAACACGTGTAAAGAAATATTGATTTGCAGCCGGTAGCAAGAGGATCTCAGTAGTATCCACATGACGGGTTATGAGGATCTATTGCAGCATGGGTTGTGTCAACCTGTCAACGGTTATGTAATACATAAGATCAGCCTATTTCATAGTCAGAGGTTCGAGAATAAATACCAAGAGATAATGTTTCTCTCCATCACATGCCAGAGAGAGATCTATTACAATTTTATGTCAGTGTATGAAGCTTCAACTTACTAGTTCATCATTGAAAGTCATACAACGATTGAGGATAAAATAAAAAGCCAACAATACCAATGAGGGCATTGGAGTTCATACATAACAGTTGATCTCTAAAACGTCACAACAGCAGATCTTCACCACAGAGCATCTTCCCCAGGTTACAGTTTCAATGCTATAAACATCTCTCACGGGTCATGCCTCCAATCCTCAAGCCACACCTCAAGATGGGACATAATTCTCAAGTAAATATGAGATATTTACCATATGAGGCCAAGCAATACATAAGTAAGCAGGAAATTTCTTACTAAGACGTTGTATAGAACAACTCCATGGTCAGTTTGATACATTTAGCTGAGAAAGTACACGATGTTCAGTAAGCATAGTATTCTCACAAATCGCATTACATTGAAACAAAGCATGTTCCCAAAAATTACCATCTTAATACTGGTAGTAGACCATACCATATCTCCCATAGATTAGCATGAATGAGGAACAAACTTCAAGGTTTCAAACCCTTGACCTCCCTCATGCAAACCAGGTGCCACACCATTGGGTGACAAGCAAATGCAACAATATGTCCTATAATTATTTCAAAAAAAAAGCCATGTCATATTATATTATTCACATATTATTAGCGGAATTTATAATCAAATATACATTGTCATAATAGAACTTTAAGATTTTATATCTCCTCTCTTTATCTTCCTTTACAGTTGCAAGGTCTTCAATAAGCAAATTTTTTGAAACAAGACAGGACCAGCCATTCAACTTGGTCCTAATCAACCAGGACCAAACCTGAGAAGATGTCAAAACTAGATAAGGGTCAGAGTCAAGTACAGTCTTTTCTGAGTCAACAAATCAAATAACTAGTGGCCAGCTAACTGCAATGGCCACTCGACATAATTAAGTAAGGTTTAAAATAAAAGTAAAAAAAAAAAGGAAAAGGACAGCGCTCCTTGTAATTGTTGAGGTAAAGCAAGGGAATCAGACTCAACCCTATAGTTTTCAGGAATTGCAAGGTAATAAAACTCATGTTACAGTAAAAAAGGTTTCTGCGGTATTTAAGGTCATAAAACATGGGTATGCCATTGTCATGCCAGGTAAATCTCTAATGTAATCAACTAAAATCCATTACTGAAAATACAAATGTCTCAACTCATACTGACATTGCAGAGGACAGAAACAAATATGTAGAAATGGATCTGAGAGAGAGAAAAGGCTAGAAGACAGAAAGGAGTTGAAGTGCAACCTAACTACACCAAAGAAGGTACAGATCTCATCCTCTAAGCTAATGTGAGCTCCTTGAAGATTGAACCCAAGTGCACCACTTTTTTCACTACTGGCCTCCAAGGCAATATGCTCAAATGAAACCTCTTACCTCTCTGAAGTTAGCCAAGTGGATTTCTTCCAATAAGTCCACTAGCTTCCATGGGAGAATCTTCCCCTGACTGGCCCATCTAAAAATGTCATGGGAGCCCAGTATTAATGGAGAAAAGGAAAAAGATGTTAAATTCCCTTAAGCCAGTCAAAAGTACCAACTCTGCCACAATAGAGTTACATAAGACCGCAGGGCCAGAGAAATTCATTGTGGTCATTGCTGTTCAGTCTCAAATGATGCCTCCAACTCCTGGTATCAGG